AAAATTAGAGATGGTATAATAGGCATGAAGTATTATGCTACAAAAGACATACTTGATAATGTGCTTACAAAAATATTAATAAAGGATAGACACCAGTAATTGATAGAGGCATTAAGCTTGAAAGCCTTTTGATAATTAATAAAATAAGAGCGTTGAAGATTAATAAGATCATTGCAAAAAGAATTGAATCTCACATCTTTGATTATACATTCACTTTGAATGCATATGAATGAATATGGTACATAATTTGATTAAATCCATTTGATTATAGATGAGAGATGAATACCATTAGTAGTATCTTTTTTTTTAACAATAATTTTTATTCGATTCTACATGCCACTCTTAGCAGCTTGATTTTATTTATTTATTTATATTCATTATTATTATTATTTTTTAATTTAATTTTTTTTATAGAAAAGAATAAAAATATGATATTTGTGAATATTTTCATATCTTAAACAAGTATTGGTCTATTTTGGAAATGTATTATTTATGTCTCATTGAATGTATTGCTATATAATTGACATTATTTATGCTTTTATGTTTCTTTTTTTCTTCTTTCTATTTCTTGTATTATCTAGTATAATATTATATTATTCACTTTTAGTTTTATCCATAACTAATGCTACTTTATCCAAAGATTATATAATATATTATTTACTTAATTTCCAACATAAAAATATAAAAAAATATATTATATTATTTCTATCAAAGTAATCAACTTCTAAGAACTTAAATAGAATTGGAGCTATTAATCCTATTACATAAATTTTCTTCTTTTATATCTTTGTCTTTCATCACATAAAATTTTGGCATTTAAAGTGATTTATATGGTAAAAAAAAAAACAATTGTATAAAGTATATAGTATATAATTGCCTTCACAATATTTTACCATATATTCAGCCATACAATTTTTATAGTATACAATCACCTTTATAAGTTTTTGGATTAAAATTAAGAATAAAAATTAAGATTTATTTTAGGTCAATAAATATTATATAAAAAAATAAAAATAAAAATAAAATGTTAATATTATTGATATTAATTTTGATATATATATATATATATATATATATATATGTCAAATTTATCATAAATCTTAAATTAATTCTTATTTTAAAAATAAAATATTTCAAAGGTTGACCTTCTAAAATTGTAGTTGCTCCAAATCCTAGCTATTGCTTATTTATGTCTCAACTAATCAGTTCTTTATTATTAACTATTAAAATTTTAATTTTTAGAAGCTTTTCGATGTTGATTGAGATAGAATGCATTTTAGTTATTACTTATTAAAACTATCTTCAATACTCATATATTGTAAGTAGATTAGATTTTTTGTATTTGTAATGTATCTTTTAATATATGTATAAAAATATCTTTCTAAGCACATAAAAATTTATTATCATTATCTATATTATTAATATTTTGTGCAATACCTTATCTTTTGGACTTTATATTTAATTTCTTTTTGCATTAAGTAATGTTAAAAATTAATATGCTTAGTACATGTATAATATATGAATTTCTTTAAAAATACATTATTTATTTTCGTAATAGATATTTATTTTCTTAAATAATAAAAGAAATAGAATTAAATAATAAAATATATGTTAAATAATATTTTATTAAATTAATGATAAAAAATCTTTATAAATACATCTGAAATATATAAATACACCATGTGGTTACAGTATTTTATTCATAAGTCTATTATTCTTAAAATCTATAGTAGAAGGGTTTCACAATTTGAGTAATTGACTTATAAGAATTGTAGTCTATAGAAAGCATTTGTATTGTTTGTTTATTAACTTTTATACATTAAAGTAAGACTAAAAAACATCTTTAGTCTTCTTAATGTCTATTTGATACCTCAATCTTGATTCAAGAGTTTTTGGTTTGTTTATATTAGAATATAGCTATCTTAGTACCTATCTATATTTTAAGCATAATATTTTTTGGTTTTTATTTTATTTTTTAGTTATATACAAATATGTTGTCTTCTATCAAACTTGTGTAGATTTAAGTTCTCAATTTTTTTTATACAACTAATAAATAAAAGATCAAAACTTACTCTTTCATAGATAAAAAATACACTCTTATTTTTTTTCAAAAATCTCAAAGTAATATATAACTCTAAACTATCCTTTTTAGATTTTATATTATTTCTATATCTCTAATTTTAAATTCGATTTAATAAATTATATCATAATTCTTATATTTATAGGATATTGGATAGATTAAAGAATAATATAATGTAAGAATAATTTTTTTTAATACATCATTTTATTTTATTATTTGAATTAATACAAATGAAAACCAATTTAAAACATTAAAATAAAGTAGAAATTATTTTAAAAAATTTAATATGTTAAAAGAAATACCTATATTAAAAAAAATTATAGCTTAATTTATATTATCAAAAAATCAAGATTTATTCTTTTTAAAAATTTAATAATATTAAAAATAAATTTTAGGAATTTAATAAAAATTTGAGAATTGTCATTAAACTCAAAATTTGAAATTATCCTACTTATATACATCAAGTCAAAAATATTAGAATATTATCTTATAGATTTTTTTATTTTTTATTCATTTTTATTGAATCTCTTACTTTTTATTAGTTTTGTTTTTTGTAAGTGATGTTATATAATTGTTAAAGACATAACCAATACTTGTAATTACTTGAATAAGAGGAGTTAGATAGAAGTAAATAATAGTAGATAAATTATATAATATATTGTGGAATGGCTTTTTAGAAGCCTCATAGATGCAAATTTGATTTTGTATATGTCTGTAGATAATTAATAGGTTAAAAACTAGGCCAACAAGTTGGCCACATGTTGCACATGTTGGCCACTTGTGATACAAGTTGACAATTTGGTGCACATTTATAAATCTATTTTGTAAGTTAGATAAGTGTCTTGTAAGTTGAACACTTGTCAGATATTTTATAGAATATTACTATATAATTCCTAATTAGATAGTATATATAAAGTAAAGAGTGATTTTTTTTTTTTTTTTTTTTTTTTTTTTTTTTTAAACCTTGTTGATGCATTTTTTATTCTTAATTTTATTGTAAGAGTCTATAATCTTCTTGTCTTTGGCAATAGCCATTCTAGTTTTATTATTATACTATCTTTGAGAGAATATCTACTCATTTTGAGTAAGAAAAGAATATATTGGCATTTTGGTTATTTGTGATTTATGTCCTTAATAATAACTTGTCATATCTTATTTATATAGCTTATTTTAAAAAATATTTTATAATATATTTAATTATATTAAAATAAATAATTCCATATTTTAATATAAATATAATTTTTAATTTTTTTGACTTCAACTTGGATATATTTAAGACACATTTTAAAATAATTTTCTTCTTTCTATCATTTTTAATTTAATTTTTTTTACAACAATAAACTATATTCTAATAACATTAATAATGTAGTATCTATCTATCTATCTATATATATATATATATATATATATATATAAATAGAATTAACTTATAAATATCAAATAATTATTTAATTAGTATCATATATTTTATGATTTCTAATTATAAAATTTATTTAAATTTATAACTATATATATTTTAGATTTTTTTTTTTTATTATCTTTTACTTCAATCTTTTGAAAATTGAAGCAACTTCAATCAATAGAGTATACTTATCTATAAAACCAAATTATATTAAAATATTGATTAAAATTTATTTATTTACTTATTTTGACATGAAATTGAACCAAATAATTGTTTTTTAGGATTCTTTTGTTTTATTCTTAGTTACTTGATGTTTTAATCTAATTGCCTTATTGAGTATTGTAAAATCTTTAATAAAAATAGATTTAAAGCCATATATTGGCCATTGTGTAAATACAACAAAATTATCTATATTATCTTTATCTAACTTTTTTCTTCCAATGACTTATAAAAATATAAATTATGTTGGAAGAATCTTCACTTGATTCATTTGAATTGAACCTTTACAATTCAATGTTTATGTTTTCTATCCAATAAATAAAAACTTTAATTATTTGAAAGTGATGTTAAATAGAATTTTGTGCTTGTAGATACCACAAAAATTCTTCTATGGTTTGTCAATCTTAAAAAAAAAATGTGAACAATGTTAGTGACTTTTAATTTGGCAACAGTAATACCAAAATCATTTTTATCAAATCAACAATATTCACGTGTACTTCAAATTACTTTCTTTTGATGGAAAAACGAAAAAAGCCATCTAAATTCTTCCAAAGATCCAATATAATCAACAAAATTTCTATACCAATCTTACAATCTGAAAAACTGTTCTTAGAAGAACCTTTAAAACTTCTTCCATATTCAATTCAAGGTCAAATTTTACCCAAAATTCACTAGTATTATTCTTGTGTGAATCCTTTCCAACAACTCATGTGTATTTCAGGTGAATGCATTCAAAATGATGCAAAGTTCATGTGAATACGATGCAAATTGTCCAAACTAACTCTATCGTCACCCCTCCCCCACACGCAAATACATATCTCTGCATGCACATAAGTTCAAAATGACTGTGATCAAAGTTTTGAACCATTTAACACAATAAATCGTGCAGAGTTGGGGGATATGAGATGGAGCTGGAGTTAATACACATGAGACACTGGACTGCCGCCCAAAGTTGGAGGAGGCAGGATGGGCACACAAGCCTAGGAATACTAAAGCAAGTTGCAGAACATATTCAGAGTGGCGGGCTTGGAAACATTGAGGAAGAACTCGGTGGAGTTTCCTCGGAGTCTTCCATGAAGCAGAAGTAAATATTCACCTACAGCATTGGTACGAAGGAATGCAGACGTCGACACAATTCAGGAAGGACAATGGCTCACGTTACGTCTCATCGCATTGCATCGCATCTCATCTCAGTCGGGTTCTCAGTGATGTGTTTCATATGTGCTGCCTTGTCTGCACCGACTATGCCAAGAAGTTCTGCAGATACTCAATCGCATGGCTACGCGGGTTCTCAGTGATGTGTTTCATGTGTGCTGCCTTGTCTGCACCGACTATGCCAAGAAGTTCTGCAGATACTCAATCGCATGGCTACGCGGACTCTCACGTCAAGTTTTTGATATACATGCATAATTGTTTGCCCCTATGATTCACAGCATGCGCCATCCAACGCCCGCTTCTACGTGAGCTTCGAGCGCAAAACGAGTCAGTGGTTCACTGGCTACTCTTTGATCTGTCAGTAGAGAAGTTATGAAGAGCCCCGAGGCATTGCAGCCTAGTCAAGCATCATTGCCCCCGAGCGTTGGTTGCTGCTGTTCTCCAAGGCCCTCCAGTTGTTCGCACAACTCCTCAGTCGCGGACATGGAGGATTCCAAGGAATATCTTCAAAATGTAATGTGCCTGCCTCAACTCTCTCCGGTGTGCAGTTTACCATAGAGGGCTGCGTTTGTGCAAACAGTAGGGGTTTTGATTGGAATCCTTTTCATGCTCACCAAACTCTAACCTTTCTCTTCGTCTGTGATGCGCCGTCGTGTCGACTGCAGACTTTTCGCAACGCTCCGCCTCCACCCACCCCTCCCGATGAACTTCCGGGTGTGAAGGTATGTCGTCAGTCCTGCTCATCGGATGCAGTCATAGTTCCAAGTCCAGGACATGCAGTGATCAGGGATCAGGGTCCATCTAGCAGTGGTCGAATGGCTGCCCCTTGTGCCTCTGGTTGGAGGATCGTGAGGATGCTGCCTCCTCACAGCTCTCACACGTGATCTATGCCTTGATCTGGTACTGTTTTTTAATTTTGGTCCTTGGATCCGTGCTTCTGCAGATTGAGTGGAACTTTCGGCTTCAGAAGACCATCGATATGGTCACCCTCCAAACAGACCTGGACATGGTATCAGATAAATGGCCAGACCAATTCTTGCAAGGTGGGTGCCTTCAAACTTCGTTGTCTAACAGGAAACAATTCAAGGTCTCGAAAATTAGTTGTGGCATCTGGCAAGTAACATGCAATCCAACTCGAGATTAGTCTTCACGGTCATGAAAATGACAATCGCATCAAGGCAGTTTGATGTTCGACATGTCAACAGCCCAGCGAGCAAGCATTGTTCACCATGTCTCAGATTGAATTTGCTCGAGTACACATGTAAAAATAAGAAAGAACATACCTCGACGTCTTTCTATCCCAAGATGATTCATTCATAACATCCAGGTCCAGCTTAATGTTGATGCTTGGGAAATGACGTGCACGTAAGAGAAAAAGGCTCAGAAGTCAAACAACTTGGTTTACGAATACCTGATCATGATTTGCATGGGATGGTAACTATCACTTTCGGCAGATTACAACCTCATTCAAAAAGCTTACCATGGAACGAAGAAGAAAATGTTACGTGTGTTTGGAAAACCATCACAAAACATTCATGTAGCATTGGAGCTTTCGATGATTTATATAATGTTGTCTTTCAATGTGCAGAGCCTAAGGTGGTTAAAGATCGTGATGACAACAACGTCATAGTTATTACAGGATACCCTCCTCATCACAACTATGATGTACAGGGCGTTTTGGTTGTAGTCCGCAAGCATGATCCAGCAGCAGTTGTGATTTGAGTGCTGGTTTGGCATTTATTAATGCCGTGGTAAGACATGACGGTATATATAAGAAGATATTCAATCAGTGCTACTTAAAACATTGTGGGATCGAATAAAACTATGGCATGTGTATATACCACATTTTAGTGTGTGCTTGATGTAATTGTGTCTTGTAGTATGAATCAAAGTTTCTGGATTAAGAGCAAATAGACCCGTAAAGATGTATTTTTTATTTTTATTTATTCTTATACTAGTATTGTTTTCTACTTGTTAATAATTAAGACCCTTAACTATCCCAAGTGGCAATTTAGTGTGAAAAGGTGGCAATTATTAAGGTTTTTGTACAAAACAATAAACATTTTGATAGATGATTCATGGTGATTCATGAAAGAACATGAATAATTTCTAAATTTTTCATATCTTAGTTAGTGTGGAACTTGTGTTCAACTTTATTCCTACTTTTCATTATTATAAAAGAATACAAGATCTATAAAGCAATTTTTATTTTAGGAGATGTTTTTTTTTTAAAACAAGTCTTTAATATGCACCCCAATCCAAGATTAGTCTTCATGGTCATGAAAATGACATCCATATCAAAGCAGTTTGATGTTGGATATGTCAACAGCCTAGCGAGTTACTTTTATTTACATAAAATTAAGTTGATATTGTTGATATTTTGTATTATAATATTATTTCTTTTAATAAAAAAATTATGAACAACAAAGATAGAAGCCATGATTAATTATATAACTATAACAAGGATATTTTATTCCATAGCTATAGTAAAGGCATTATTATAGTAAAGGTATAATTGATAATTGATTATGATGATTTAGTTCAAGATGAAAAAAAATGTTTTCAGAATTTGCTTGCATTCTATTTAAATATTGAAATGTCTCACTTAAATTTAATATGTAGAAGGATTAGCTTATATAAGTTTAAAATATTCTAATTAGAATTGATAATCTCATAAAAAATGTTTCTTTTATCCAATATATTGATGAGACAAATTGATGCATAACACATGGATTAATTACAAGACATGGATGCAAATAATGTTATTTAAAAACCCAAACTTAATCAATTAAAGGATATAACATATATATTTACATATGTATATATATGTTAAAAAGTCAAACTATTTTCAAAAGTTCAGATGATTGGATTACAAAAAAAAAAACCTATAAGTCATAAAATATAATGTTCAATTGTGCTAAGAGGAGTTGACATGACTTTGTCTTTTTAAGATAACAAATATAGTTTTACGAAAGAAAAACTTGATATGTTTTATTAAATTCTAAATATTGCACATAGAATATTGTTGGAAATTAGAAGAACTTCTAAAATATTTAGGCAATTTAATCCAACTTAAATAAATTTTAATTATATAGAAGTAAAATTAAAAAGACCTTGCCAAATACAATCAATAATCTTAAAAAAATTATAATTACTAGAAGTAGTGGCGTATAGGTCATGTAATTATTAATAAATCTTATAACATTAATTTGTAGATAGAAGTTATTAAAACCATTAGAAACAAGATATTTTTTGACATTAAAAGTAATATTAATTTTTATATGTAATTTATTCTTTTTGAAGAATCTTGAAATGTGCATTTGTAAAAATTTATAAATCTTGCTAAACATAATTAGTAACCTTGAAATATAATTAGTAACCTTGAGATTAGAGAATTATAAGTATTTGATATTAAAAGATTATAAGTCAATAAAAAGACTTTTAATTTTAATAAATAGAATAAAATTAATAAAAATATATAATTTGATATTAAATTCTAAATATTTCTATTAAGATTCTAAAGTTCTTATGATTTCTATTAAGATTAGAATCTTAATATAATTTGATATTAAATTCTGAAGTTAGATATGTTACTTGCAAATTTTTCTTGGTATTATTTCAAAGTTGATGTATTTATTAATATAATTATTAAAATTTTAAAAATAGTAGATAAGCAACATAAGTAAAAATATTAATTTTGAAACATAGAAAATAAATGTTCAAAAAACTCTTTGAAATTTTTATAGAAATAAAAATTAATATTTAATGATAGATCAAAGAAATAAAACAAAGTAAGTAACTATAATAGTAAAATATTTCTTTTCTTTTATGATATTTAACTATATTCCTAAAACTAATTATAAAAGTAAAACTTTATAAGTTAAAAATATTACTTTTTTGAAGATATAAGCTTATGTGCATCAATGCAAAATGGATTGTGAAGCCTCAATATTTTGTTTATGCTTCTTTCATAATATGTTTTTGTTTTTTTTATTCTATCTTTTCTATTCTTTTAACAATCTTGTAGTATCTAAGTATCTTTTTTTTAAGTTATAAGATAAACGAGATTTTTTTATACAAATTAATAGTATTTCTTTAAGCTTAGATTAAATCTATAATTATTATTAGATTTTATATTTGGCTATAAAAACATATTTGAATTTTTTTACGATTCAAAACATCATTATAAAACAACAAAAAAATAAACAAATGCTTGTTTTTATAAAATTCTAAAGGATGCTTATTAAGTAAATTTTAAAGAAAAAAATAAAGAAAAAAAAAGAATTATAGTACTACCATAACCATCAATCCAAACAAAAAAAATAGATTTTTTTCAAATAAATAATGTAATATAAAAAAATACTAAAAAAATCCTTAATATTATATATATATATATATATATATATATATATATATATATATATATATATATATATTTGTATGTGTATATAGAATTGTGTATATTTATTAAATATTTATAAATCCATATAAATTATCTCAATATTACAAAACAAGTATTGTAATCTATAGTTATTTAAGCAAAGCTTTTTGAAACCAAAAAAAATTCTAAGTGAACTATCTTTACTTACATGATACCATAATAAGTAGTTGCTTCTAAAATATTTGAAAAGAAAGTTTAACTCTATGTTATTATTTATTATTATTTATTATTACTATTTATTATTATTTATTATTACTATTTATTATTATTTATTTAGTTTAATCTACTCAAATAAAATAGATGCCAATGATATAATTTGTTTTAAAATTAAATCTAATAAGGCTATCTAATATTTTATAACTTAATACTTGATTTATTTTTAAATTATTATGACATTAAGATATTTTAATTATTTATTCTTACATCTACTGATAAGTTTTTAATTAGTGTTAGTAGATATTTATCTTTTTACTCAACTAAATTTTGCATCTATTGACTTTTATGATTAATCAGATATATATATATATATACTCTATTTTTGGAAATCCTACTTATCTTATATTCAAATAAATGTATTAGATAATATCAAATAAAAATTATTGTAGAAGAATAATTCAAGCCTATTTTTATATTACCATAAGATATATATTATAAAGTAATAAATTTTAGATTAGGTAATATATTATATATTAATATAAAGAATTAATATTTTAAAATATTATTAAATAAATTTATAAAATTATTTAAATATAATTTTTGAATATATTGAAAATTTTAAATTATTAAAAAAAATACTAGAAAAATTATTAATATGGAAAAAAAAATCATATTGAGAACTAAAATAAAAATAATAAATGTGTTGAAGAAAAAATAGTTGAATATATAATCTCTAAAAATGTCTTTGTTAAAAATCCATAAAAAACCATCTCTATTACAAAGATATTTTTTCATATAAAAATGCAAGTAATAAAGATTTTTTTAGAAGAAAAAATATATTATAAATTTTTTATTGAAATTGATATAGTGATAGCTAAACTATTGAAAAATATTTTTAGGAATGCATATAAAAAAATTTTAAAAATTAAAAATTAAGTGGTAAAGTTGTCTAAAGAATTAAAAATGCTTGAATCTTAAATCCACCAAATTAGAAGAAATCACTTGTGATACATGACAATATATTTATTTGAGTATATAGTTACAATGTCAAACATCATCTTTAATATTTAATTTGTGTGTTTTATCATCTTTTTTTTAACATGATTAAAAAAAAAATTGTGTATAAAAAAACACTACCGTATATTTATATATTTGTATCTTATAAACTCTTAGATACAAAAAAATCTATGAATAAATATTGTATATATGTATATATATAAATTGAAATTAGAAACTAAAATTTTATTAGAAATAACTAGTTATTAATACATTAAAACATTAATTTTGTTACATTTGAAATTTTTTTTATATAAAACGGTTTTTTAATATATTCTTAAATAATAATAATTATCTAAATATTTTTCTATCAATTATAATTGGTTTCAATATGTAATATACATGTTGTTTATGAAAACATATATGATGCAATAAATATTTTATCTATTTTGTATACAATCTCTTATAAAATATTTTTTCTATCAAGAGCTTGATGGAGATAAAGAAAAACATCTTTAAAGTCCAAATTAGAAAGAATGAAATGGTTGTATCAAATTCTAAAGAATAGCTACATAAGAATTATTTTACAAATGTCATAGCTCTGCAAATATTGGTAGCTAAGTATTATAATGATAAAAGTAACAAAAAATTGACTGAAGTATATGGAAAAAAAATGCATAAATAGATCAACTAATCAACATTGGAATGTAAATACCATTGAATGAACTAATACTTTTAGAAAAGAAATATTTTTTGTATCCATAATATATATAAATAAAAATAAAAGTATGATAAAATTTATATAATTTTAAAAAAATTATAGAATAAATTCTTATTCTTTGTTAGTATTAAATTGTTATCTAAATATTGTAGCATTTTCAAAATTTTCATTATGAATCATTTCCAACATAAAGTTTTTAGAATTTCAGAAGCTACTTCTTACTAATTATATAGTGAATGTTGCTGGAATATCTAACATTTGTAAGTCCACATTGATAAAGGCTTTTAGAGATGATAATTTAAAAAAACTAATGAAAAAAATAAATGGAATTATCTAATGCTATTGAAAATGTAGATGAAAAAAAATATAATAACACAATCTTATGGAACCTAAGAAATGACCATTTTTTAGAGTTGAGTAAAACTTTGAAATAATTGGATAATAAGTTTTAAACTTAGAACCTTAAAGAATGAAAAACATCATAAGATATTATGCTTCAAAAAATAAATATTTTTTTAATCTTTGGTGATGTTTTAAATTG